GAAACTTTCTACAGGTCTCCTAGAAGATATTACAGGTTCACAGGGGCCAAAACATTCCCCATACCATCTGACTCCCATTTCTGCAGACTTGGCCTACTCCATCACTCCTCAGGACTTTTTGCTCAGTAGGTGCAGAGGAAGTTAGTGCTTCTTTTATTAGCCTCCAAGTTATAGACAGATGTCCACTAGAAAAGCTTTTCACAAAGGTGATAAGAGGATTAAAATTACGGAACAGCTTCCATGGCAGCCTTGGTTAAACAAACTGGGAGCTTGCAGCCTGAAAAATAGAAAACTGAGGGAGAGCATCAAATGAAACCAGCAGCTGGCATGTTGAAAAGAAACCAAAGGAGATGGTTCTTCATACAACTTGCAGTCAAGCTATGGAATTTGTTGCTGCGGATAATAAAAGTATGCATGCCCTCAAGAAGAGAGGGGATCCACCTCTGCTTCAGTGTGCGCCCGGATGGCTGGAGGCTCGGGAAATTATTCTGGAAAGGATTACTTCCTTGCTGAATTCTTAAATGTCTCCGATTTTAGCCGCTGTGAGAGACAGGATAACAAGTTAGACAGATCTTTGATACAATGTACTACTGATAGTCTTATGTTCTTGAAAGTTTATGTGCTAGATGAGGAAAATCACACTCATCCTTCACTCATTCCTTTGTTCTGTTCCCATCCACAGGTGGGCGCTGCCAGAGGTGCAGCAAGCAGCCAGTGGGTCTTAAACCTCCCACTGTTCCCTCTCCTGCGCAAAAGCATGAGAAAGAAAAAGATTTGCCGCCTTTCCGCTCAAGCTGCATAGTCTTTGCAGCCCCTTTGCCGTCAGAGCATCCCCACGCGCTGATGTGCAGAGCAGTTGCTGGAGGTATGCAGGCAGCTGGCTGCTCCCATGCTGTTGGCTCTCCTCCTGCTTTCCAGCTGCTAAATTGCATTAAAAGAAGCTAGAGCTGTAATTTAATAATATGATTTTACGTGTAAGCAACTACTGTAGTTGCCAAAAGGATGCAGCCCATGGAAAAGAGGAAGCCAAGATACTCGCCCAGGGGAAGGGAAGCGTTCACTGGACACTTTCACTATTAAATGAGATCCACGTTTTCTCTCCTTTGCTAGACCTTTTTTTCTTTCATGCTTTTTTGTAATTCTTTACAACCATAACATGTTTCTTTCCTATTCCAAAATCTGCAACATCTCTATCGCTGTCCAGGGCAATACTTACAATAAGCTATTGACAAACAGGATGGCAAAAAGCAAATATTAGCAGCTGATCCTGCAACATTTTTCTTGCCATTCAGGGGCATTGCTTTCTTGACACAATGAAGAAGACCAACAGCAGTCAGATCACACAGAACTGAATTAATATCAGAGCTATATGAACATCGTGACATTACTTGTCAAAGGGATATCAGAGCTTCAGCTCAGGTTTCTAGGGTTAGGAGAAGGGATTTGAAGGATGCTATTATTCAGCCACCAAGCTGTAGCACCAATTTTATGTTCATGGGAATAAAAGAAAAACTCTCCCAGAAGAATCCTATAGGCTTTAACACAGGCTAATAGTTTTAGTCTAGAGTCCTTGGATCATACTCCAAAAGTCTAGAGATATAGATATCTCATTCAACTATATGGGATAGAAAGACAGCTGGTGTATACCAGCATAGCTCTACTGATTTTGCCAATATACACTAACGGAAGATGCAGCTGATATATTTTTAAACAATTTCTATAAAACATCATTAGATTCCAACAGGACCTTGGTGGTTTCATACCTTTTAAATTTTAATAAAGTGCATAAAATTGGCAGAAAGTACCCTCTGAAATGCACTTTGTTACATCTCTATATCAGCTTCCTTCTGCCAGATTCTGATACCTTTATGCATTTTGAATAGCCCCTTTCTGCTGAAAAAGTCCCATTGAAAGTGGTGGCTTTTCTGGGACTACCTGAATGTACCTATAATAGAATAACAAAAATCTGCTAAAGCAGAGTAACGGAGCTGATGTCGTTGGGGAATAGAAAGATGTGCTGAATCCTGTCCCCACAGGTACATCTCCATTACAATCCCATCTCTCCTTAGAAAGGAGATACAGTACTGTTCACAAGTGCTGGACCTTGCCTCTTTTCACTTGAACTATCATAACTACTTAATCAAGGAAAGCAAGAGGGACATTACTACCAAAAGAAGTTCTTTCCCTTCAATTTGCCCCTGGTTAGACCCACTGCTCCCTGGAGTGTGGTTTTGTGGAATGTGTCAAACATATTGCCACAGAGAACACAGTCGCCTTAGATTGCTTGCGATGAAACCCAAGCGACCGAGAGCAATAGTGGTATGGTGCACAGCCTGGGACGGGGCAGTAGCTAGGGGTGGATGGCCCGGCATAACTGCGTGACCCAGCAAGGAAGGTGAAAGCACAGCACTACCTACAACAACAGCGAAAAGGCTGACGGGCTGGGAAGGTGTGAGAAGAAAGTCAGAGAGGAGTTGGTTGGGGCCATGCACAGGATGGCATCAAAGCTGGAAAAGAAGGTGGCTGTGGGAGGCCAGCATGATTCGAGAAGGGCTGGAAGGACGTGCAGGGGTACAGCACACAAAAGCAGATGAAGGAAAGCAAGATGGCATGGCTGAATGAGAGGCAAGAGAGCTGAGGGGAAGATCTGCAAAGATGTGATGTGATGGGACCATGGAGAACTGAGGGAGAAATGAGATTTAGAAAGAGTCTTTTTGCCCTTGGCTGATATGAAAACACCAACAATCAAACCTTTCTAAAGACATTTTGCTGTCTGTGGTGTTGTCCATGCCCGTTGGCTCCAGGGTGAAGCATTTGGCAGGCAGATTTAGGAAGCTCTGTCTGCAGCCCTGCAGGAAAGATTGAAAGGACAAGTGCCTTCCTTAGTGCTTTGGGATAATGATGGGAAGGGAGTGGCAGCTTTTGGCCGGGCAAATCCCCGCCAAGCTGTGGTTCTGGCAGGATACCTCAAAGGCTTGTTTCCCAAGCCTGGGTCTTCTTTCAAAAGAAGTTACTGGTTTCATCCTTCTGAGGGCCACCATTAAAATCCCTGTCTACCATTAAAATCCCTGTCCCACCTTCGCAGTGTCAGCTTATGAACTACAGCTAAGTCAGTGAAGTTTGCTCCTTTAAAAGGCATTTATGATCCCATAGGAATGTTATATGACTGCACAATGGCATGGAGTAAGGGTGACACACTGTGTGGACAGCGAGAAGTGCAATTCCTTCCCCCTGGCTCCCAACTTCTTTTGGTCTTTTTTTGAAATCTGAGTCTTGACTGAGGCAAGACCAAACGCTCCCTGCGGAGCTCTCTCATGGTCCCTTCTGGTAAAGGGGCAGAACCCTCCCAGATCAGCTCCTCCCCAGATTAAGCCATCTCCCTCTCCTCCGTAGTGGATGACCAGAGGAAAAAATTCTGAGGATGTCCCTGGGCTCTGGGGAAGAGGAGAAAGTTCTTCTGTGACCTACTAACTGTTGCCACGAAGCCATGAGTAATGAGAGATGCAGCTTTAGAGCAAGCATGTGGTTAGCTGGAGACCATGATTTCTCTATAGCAGCCAATGTGGGCTCTGCAGTGCGTGGAGAAATGGAGCAAAGAGCCATCTGGCTCAAGCAGCTTGCAGCTAAAAGAATAAAGACTTAGCAGCAGTTTCACGTCTTGTTTGCTGTTTTAAAACTGTCTAGGAGCTTAACGTACCTCATCTGAAGAAAGGGCTACCTTACAAAAAAGAGGTTGCCGCAGTCAGAGATCTCAATCCTAATCGCCAAACAAGCCAGCCAAGAAACTAAGACAAATACTTGAACAAAGACATGATAAAAAGAGATAAAAGCAGAGACAAGAAATGCACGAGTCAATCTTTCAGACCCACCCAGCTCTCACTTTCAAATCCTTGTTTTTCCTATTGAAAGCAGGCAACAGTGGCCCTGGCTATTTCCACCTCTGAGTGTGCAAAATCTCTGCAGTATTTCTCATGCTTCCTGATGCCTTTGTTCTCCAGAAGACAAAGAACCTGTGTACAAAAGAGTCCCACACGGCATTGCTATGGATGTTTAGGCTTTTAAAAAATAACTGGCTTGTTCTTTTAATGTGAGCAAATATGCTGTGAGAAGGCAGGTGCCTGGCCTCTAGGAAACACAAAATTAAAAAAAAAAAATCAAGGAGTAGTAGCGTTTTATTTCAGAGATCCACGATTTTTGTAAGCTTCATCTGTTCCTGAACATTACGCCGCTGAGTACAGGCTCTTGTAACGCACCGGCTGCAACTCGGCGCACTGGGAGCTGCCAGTCTCCTCCCCACGCCGCCTTAGGATGGGCAACTGTAACAAGATCCTTCTCCCATTTAGCCACAGGGAAGTATTTTCCCACCTTGTTAGTAGATCTGTCTAATGTCTTCTGCCAGGCTGAGACTCCGTGCTCAGGATAACTGCGGTATTCAATATCCACTATTACCACAGGGCCCGCAACACAGCTTTCCTAAGACCCTTGTGTCTCAGGGATATACTCTTAATCCCGCTTTACACATGAGTGGCGGAAGTGCGGAGAGACCCAGTGACTTTTCCAGGAACATACAGGTGGACTTTGGCAGAGGAGTAGCTTGACTCATGCTATGAAAGCGGAGGCTAATGGCCAAATTGCTGCATGATTCTTCCCATCTAATGCCTGATATCCCACTGAGTTTATGAGACTGCTGATGGAGAAACTTGGAGACGGAAGAGAAGCAAACAGGAAGAATGTATTTGACTTCTTTTCCAGGCAAAATAGCTGAATGCAGTCCCTGAGAATGGCAAGGTCTCGCTAGCTTCTTTCTTTTTTTTACAGGAAATAGTGTCCAAGAAGTGTATATGTTATCTCTGAAATTCATGGCACAGCTTGTGCTGGAACAAGGGCCTGAGCAGGGCTCCGCGGCCAGGGCGGCGACTCCCGGGAGACAAAGGGGAGCCTGTTGTCTCCGGCTGCGCGAAGCCCACTCAGACGCGCTGGTCCTCAGCTCTATTCCTGGACTCGCCGCTGACTCACTTGGTGACCTTGCAGAGAAAGACTCTTACATCCAAGTCTGCCTGTCTGCAAAAGCCATCACGGTTTCCTAAGGTTGGACTCTGTTTGAACCGCAGACTAAGAATAAATATGAAATATTATTTCTTCTGTCTTCCTTCAACACCCGCCCCCCAAGGGCTAGTAGGAACCAGACAGACAGATGAAGCCGTCCTACCATCTTCTTATAATCTCTCTCTGCTCCCCGTTCCTTAATTTTACAATTAACTCTGCCAATGAATCTTGTTTTCACAGTGCACCAGGCTATCCTATCACTAGAGGGACACTCGGTTGCATTCAGGTAGGTGATTATTTTCTTGAAGCACTTTGCATTTATAACCACAGCCCTTCGCTGTGGCACTCTGTCCTCTTCAGAGCGTCCCTTCTGCGCAGAGGTGGGCCTCGTCGAGGGGATGCTGGATCTGCAGAGAGGCTTTCTGCAGAGGGAGTCAGGATGGGTTTTGTTTCTCAGATCTGATATTCCAGCCTGGCTGCTGCCGCTGACTTAGGCAAGAACAAAGCATGATGCTTAGGTTTATTATTCACGATGTGGGACTCTGCCACCTTTTTAGAAAATCTGCATTGTAGACAGGGTCTCTTTGTCACTTTACTAATACCACTGTGTTCTATTAACGGCGAAAGGATTTTTATAATCTAGTTTACTCATTACTAGTTATGTTTCTTTACATCTAGGGTCAGAGCCAAAACTCATTAAAGGCAGTGGGAATCTTCCCATTCAGTCCCCTTGGCTTTAGCTCAAGCCTGTATTCAGTCCCTCTGTGCCTGGACAATGAAGATCAGTGATGGCAGTCTCACTATCAGTGTCTTTGTGCCACCACGTCGCATTTCTAAAACCTGCAGCACAATGTCCATTTGTTTTTAGCAACTGCTTCCTTTCAGATTTCAAAAATAAACAAGTCCATGGAAGAAACATTTCTTTTGGCTCTGCATGGGCTGAAAGCTGATTTGCAGACATTTTAATTTTGGTAGACAGTGTCTCTTTGATTCTCTCCACCATCTCAGTACACCAGCCTGCTATTTTTGCCCCACAGGCAGGCTTGGCTGCACTGAGTCATGTAGCTTTGGTTTACTTTGGAGCTAGTGTAACCAGCGATAATCCCAGCGCTCGTCCTATGGAGACAAGAAGCGTTTACTTGTGAAATCTAACAGAAGGACGGCAGCCTGACGAAAGCAGGGCTGAGCATATTCTTTTAGCATATGCAAAGGGAAGAAAGAAAGAGTGCCATGATTAAGTGGCTCCCATATCACTGCAAGATTATCACATGCTCTGCAGCCGATGGCCGGGCAGAGCATTAGCGCAGGAGAGTTTAGCTTTGCTGGATGACGCATGGGACGTCTAGGACTGTCCTGGCCTTGCGGGTCAGAGCTGAAGGGACCGTCTCGCGCTGCTGCAGGTGCTGCTCTACCCATCTGGGAGCTAGACAGAGCTTTTGCAGGGTTTTCTCCCTCCACTCCAGTTTTTTCAATCAGCCAGTTCTCATCGGCGAACGTGCTTCAGAGCTGCGAGCAGAAACCTTCACTATAAAGGAATGTCTGCAGAGTCCCGTGGAAGTGAACCGTGCTTCTCGTTCTCAGCCCTAGTGGTAAGAAAATCCCATTTTATCCCCAAAGAAGGAGAAAGAGTAAGAGGGAATTAGAATCCAAAGAAAAATAAATAAAACAAGCATTCTTGGTCGCTCACTCTGAGGCCTACAGCTGGATGAAACCCATTTTTCTCACACTTTGAAGTTCACATTCTGGCTAAGGGAAACCTTTCACATGAAATCTGGCCTCTGACTGAGGAAGGTCACTGCAGCGAGAAGATTTGGATGACGATAGATACCTCAAAGAGATGGAATATTTTTCTTACCTCAAATGCTGTGTATGGATAAAACCTGGCTCATGAATTTCTTCCTCGTTGGGTGGATATCTTTGTCTTTCTGCCACAGACTCCAGCAGAACAAAATCACGATCAAACCCTGTGCCTGTCTCCTTTTGTTGATGGCTATTTATTTTCCCTCGCATTTCTCTCGTTTTGTACTCTTGGCTCAAAAGTCTCTCTAGCGCTCCAAACCAGTTAATTCTTCCTAAGAGCCATATGGGCCCAAGGCCTAGACTATATTTATAAGCTGTAAGGATCTCCCTAGGCAGCCTCAGTTACAAAGGATTAGAGTCAAACAGCTACAAGGAGATGCTCAAAAACAACCTCAGAGCGAAAACACAAAGACATGGAACATCACACGTTTCCCCCCTGTTAAAGTTTAAAAAAACAAACCGCAGTTCAAAGTCATGTATAACGGGAGGTGAGTAATCTTTTTCCTTTAATCTCCCATGTTTCCAGCAAAAGGACGAAACGTTCTGCTTTCCTCTGGTGTCCGAACACATGTGTTTAAGAGGTGTTCTCAGGCCGGCCCCGCGCTTTTCCACCGCTACAAACGCAAGGAAAATTGCCTGAGGGAAGAGCACCGGGGTGAGCTAGGACCGGGGCTTGCACTGCAACGGATGCGGGCAGTGACAAGCCTCAACGGGACCGCGAGGGAAGAGCCTGCCTGAATGCTAGGAAGGGATGGATAACAGGAATGAGAAGTTTTCTTCTAGTGTGACCTAACAATTTTTAAATGAAAACGCAATTGCCTGCAGTACGTTACTTTGTACTTTTGCTTCCTTGTTGCTGTTGAAGTGACAGGAGTGAAAGGCTTCCTCTTCCAGGTTTGCTTTGTGGCTTTGGGTGATTCATTAAACCCTTCTGTGTCATATTTTCCCCTTAGGTATAAAGGAGAAAGGTGCCCTGAGCCTCTGTTAATGTATGTGCTTCCTGACCGGCCCCTCTGAAGCTGCCATCCCACCGAGGACCATCAAGTCATCAGAAACATGCCTATGGCTCTCCTGGCCCCAGACCTCTTCCTATTAGTTTTCTAATTGCCTGTATACTACTACGTATTTGAATAAAGCAGTGCAGGAAATGTTTTTCTGAGCTAGAGAAACGTTTTGTTCCCATTCAGCGTTCAAGCCAAATGGGGCTTTTTTTTTTTTTGAGGCTTTTTTTCATTTTGTCAAAACAAATGAAAAAGTAAGCAAACGTGTCTGCAACAAACTGAACTCAGTGGCCGCAGAGCAGCCGATAGGCTTGGTGATCGGAGGGTTGCTGCAAGACTCGGGAGATTACAGCACAGTTTTCTGATCTAATTCAGACTAGGGTCTTGAAACCAGATCTTGCACACATAGGAGATTGGCAAGCTGCAGGCAAAGGCTGGGACGGTGCTTGCTTTCCCTGGAATTTCCATCCTTAGCAGAAGCTATTCAAAATCGAGACTTCCCACAGAAGCTTTCTGTTTTGATAATATGCCATTTTCCAATGAAAAACATTTCATCAAAGAGTTCCCCTCCTGGTTTGTTCACAGACTGCCAATGTTAACTTGTCTCGAGATCCCCAAGGGACTACAGGATACGCGTGAATAAAAGACAGCCTGACAAGATTGTGGAGAGAGGCACACCCAGCGACGGTCTCGCGGCTCTCTGCGGGGTTAAGGGAGCTCTCCTGCTGCTACCTGCAGCAATGCTCCTCCTCTGTGTGAAGGGATCAGGTGGGACTGGCAACCTCACCCTAAGAAATGACGGCTGTATTTCTGTTTGCTGGGTTAGGGATGCACATGTAGCCAGCTCCTTGATTGTCTTGGAGGTTAGCACACGCCTCCAAGCCACACTATGTTCCCATCAAATAAATAATGTCTGAATTCATGAGACGTGTATTGTTGTATCACACAACAATGGTGTAACGTGCAAGGCACACTAGCAATATCATGCCTGTTTCCCATCTTCTCTTTTGGGGGCCTGGATTTACAAGATAGGAGACATGGAAAGGTGTCCAACCACAAAGAGCTCTAGGTACTCTCCAGAAAATGATAGTGAAGTCAATAAGGCACAAGGGAAGACGGAAATCCATAGGCCTGCCAACCTCAGGGCCCACGGGCCTACAGTTCTTAGAGGAGGTCACTGTCCTTCTCCTCACCTGCCACAGATCACAGACAGAGAAAAACGTCTTTGAATTTGTAGGCCTATTCTACTTGTTTCTCTCTTGCAGGCATGTAACAAAGCCCAGTTCTGGAGGCCCAGGTCAGTACTCCCTAGCCTAGCACACAGCTGCGAATCTCAGCTCTCACAGACGCGAAAGGGCTAGAGCTCCTTTGGCGAGTACCTCTGTTTCATAGCTTGTGCCTCTGGTCAGGACTGTCTCACTCAAGCTTATAGGAAAGGCTGTCTTTGGGTTAAAGTGCCTCTAGCTGAAGACACAGGGCAGAATTAGCCATCTAAAATATAGGCTCATGGGCTAGTGGAGACAAAGAAGCTCCTGCCAAGAAAGGTTTATAAAACAGACATGCTGTATAGGTGGGATGAGTTGCCCTTTGGCAGCACCCATCTCTGCAGTCACACAGGGAGCCTATGCAACTAGCCTGGATTACACATCTAAAACATGGGTGGCTACACTTAGGCTACACCTAAAATCTATATAGATTTTACCTTTGGCTAAAGCTAATTACAGCACGTAATGGAGGATGCTGGGCAAATCCAGGCCTAGCTCTGATCTACGGCCATGCCCTCCGCTGGGTGTCCTAGGCTCACGCTTACTCAGGGTGGGCACCAACGGAGCAGCAGGACACAGTGAAGGATTCTTGGGGGGCGCCGTCCCCTGCCAAGCTGGCGAAAGGAAGGGAGCATTGCATTTAGACTTCCACATCAGGCCTCTGCCATCAAAGGATGGGAAGATACTTCAAGGGCCGGCCAGGTTGTGTAGTCAAAGCCTGCATTTGGTCCAGGTCTCACAGACTACACTGCCAGGTACACCTTGGCCCTACAAAACGCAGGGTGCTTAATCTAACACAAGAGGCCATAGCCATGGTATCCTGGCACAATTCTTGTAGTTGCTACGCGCCCTCCCAATCCATTAGCATTGTACCAGTCGTAGGCTCCCCGTGCCCGTGGGAACTGCAGAAGGGCTAGAAAAGGTCATTTCACTCCCTAATGAAATGCCACTAGCTTTGCAAAGGCGCCTGGCAATTGTATCAGTAGGGCCATAAATTAATAAAGTAATAATAACAAGGAAGTGAAGCGCGCTAAGATATTTGTTAATATGAGTGAGGAGCGCTGAGGTCCTCAGATGGTATAGCAGTCACGGCAAAACGAGTTGTGCTGTTATGAAGAGGTTATATTCCAGCTAGCAAATTGCTTTTTCCATCTATATGAATGGAACCTGCTGCTGCATTATGCAAGCCTGTTATGCTTTGGAAAAACTTTAAGGAGTCGCTGCAGGTATATTAGTATGTTCAGGAACAAAATGTGCCCTTCGTACAACCCTCTTTTTATTTTGCACGTTTTGGGGAAGAAAATAAAGAATGAAAAATAGTCCCCAGGATCACTTGGCCAGGTTCTGACATTGAATTCTTCGCAAAACTACACACTAGTAGCACTGATCTCAATTAAAAAGTCAATTAACTTGACCAACAATTAGAAGGTGTGTTTGGGGCATCAGATAAACCATGCGCAATTTACCAGCAGTCGGTCAATAACCTCAGATGAATATTTAAACACCCTATGTCCATAAATAAAACATATACTACACTTCTATAGCTGACCTGGAATTTTCATTCTTCGGTTAAGCTTCCTACATGATCGGACTTTACTATTATCCATAACTGCTTAAAAGTCCATTATTGCAACACAGTTCTGGAGGGAGTTGTATGTTCTAAAAATTAATTTTAGGAATACAAAATGCATTTGTCATCTTAGGAATGATCTTGGCGTTCATACGGAAATTAGCATTACCTGGTGACCCCTTGCGCCATTGAGAACGGCCTTCCCGATTTAAAGCTGCGCATGAGAAACGATGCCTGCAGCTCATACGAGTCAGAATTAGTTCAGCCTATTTTGCGTCCAGTTTGCCGTTTGCGTTCGGGACGTTTCTACACCAGATACCAATTCTGATGCTCTGATGCGCCCCTGTTCCTTGCAGGCTAACATAGCAGTTTGTAACTCGCAGAACAGCACCTATGTCTTATTTTTGCTCTGGTGCGTTTCGAGGTAGCATGTGTACTTGCTACACATGTTAAGAATTTAGAAGTACACTAAGAAGAGGCATGGGAAACCGTGCAATGCCCTGATCACAGCTCAGTTTAAGGTCTAATGCACATGCTATCTTTCTCTTCTTCTTTTGAAGACAAACTGAGCTAGAACTAAAAAAAAAACCAAAAAAACTGACATTCAGCCACGGGGGTTGGCAGTGCTTTACTGTCTGGCTGTAACAGGTCATTTAACCCCAGTCTCTGCGCTGCGGCGTTATCGGGAATGCCAGCGCGTGTGGGGAGCTGTACAGGTCTCTCGGGGTCCGTATCTGGGCCGCTCAGCGCTTGTCCGCCTCATGGGTGAGGACAACTGGTCCAGCTTTGCGAAGCGGCTTGCGTATGTCAAAAGCCAAAAAAAACGGATGCGCGTATTGCAACAGGGAGAGCGTTATCGGGAATGCCAGCGCGTGTGGGGAGCTGTACAGGTCTCTCGGGGTCCGTATCTGGGCCGCTCAGCGCTTGTCCGCCTCATGGGTGAGGACAACTGGTCCAGCTTTGCGAAGCGGCTTGCGTATGTCAAAAGCCAAAAAAAACGGATGCGCGTATTGCAACAGGGAGAGCGCAGATTATCCACTCCAGGGAAAGCGGCCCCTCGGGCAGCCTGGGAAGCCTCCAAGGACGCCG